TCTTCCAACCCAAGAAAATGCTCAACACCTCACTCTTGTGCTTCATAGTGTAGACCCAAGACCTTCTTGAATAATCATCAACAAAGGTCATGAACCAATGTCTACTACTCAAAGAGGGAGTCTTTGTAGGACCCCAAACATCCGAATGCACATAATCAAGAATGCCCTTTGTCTGATGTACAGCAGTACCAAACTTCACTCTAGTTTGCTTCCCCAAGACACAATGCTCACAGAAACCAAGCTTACAAGTCGTGGCACCTTTTAGAAGACCTTGTTTCACAAGCCCTTGTAGAGCTTTCTCACCGGCATGGCCTAATCTCATATGCCACAATCTAGTAGTATCAGAATCGGATGTGCCCATATTTTCTGAGACTACAGATGCTTCACCTGTCACAGTGCTTCCTTGCAATAAATACAAATGGCCACATCGAGGAGCTTTCATCACAACAAGTGCACCATAAGTCACCTTCAATGTCTGCCCATCTGAATGAAACCTGAAGCCCTTGGCTTCCAAAGTTCCCAAAGAAATAAGATTTTTCTTCAAATTCGGTACATACCGAACACCTGTCAACTCTTTAACCATGCCATCATGCAACTTCAAACGAACTGTACCAATCCCTTTGGTTGTGCAAGGATTGTCATCTCCCATGAACACAACACCACCATCAAACTCTTTCAAGCTTGAAAACCAATCCTTGTGAGGAGTCATATGATGAGTACAACCCGTATCCAACACCTATTTAGTGACACAATCAAATGATGAGGTAATGGTTAAAGCAAAATCAGAAAAATTTGTTTCAACTTCAGCAACATTAGCTTCAGAACTTTCTTTACCCTTGGCCTTCAACTTAGGACAATCTTTCTTCCAATGACCCTTATTACGACAAAAGGCACATTCATCCCTTCCAAAGGTTTTCTACCTTTAGAGTTTCCTCTAGGTCGAGACTGTGATTTTTTCCTGCTAGAAGATGATCTTCTCTCCGATGATCTACCTCTAACAAATAAAGCTTCAGAGGTACTATCATGATTTTTATCTCTATGCCTCATTTCATAATTCATCAAGGCATTTGACACATCTTCAAATTTCACAGTTTCTTTACCATGCATAATAGTGGTAACAAAATGCTCATAAGAGTCCGGCAAGGAATTCAACAATATTAAGGCCTTATCTTCATCCTTAATATCCTCATCTAAATTTAACAAGTCGGCAATCAACTTATTAAAAGCATCAAGGTGTCTAATCATTTTTGTACCTTCTTTGTATTGGAAGCGATAGAGCTTTTTCTTCAAGTGTAGCCGGTTCTCTGCACTCTTCGTCATATACTTGTCTTCCAATTTTTGCCACAACACACTTGCTAATGTCTCCCGCATCACAAAATACTTCTGAGTTTTTGCAAGGCACAACCGAATTGAAGAGCAAGCCCACAAATTTAATTTCTCCCATTCCTGCTTCGACATAGCTTCCGGCTTCTCTCCCAAAGCGGCAAGTAGATCTTGTTGAGCCAACACATCTTTGACCTCACATTGCCACATCCCAAAGTTGCTTGTGCCATCAAACTTTTCAACTTCGAACTTTGCATTTTGCACCGTAGTTCTTGCAAACCTGGAGCTGCTTCCAAAAGGATTCTCGTCTTGCCCGTCTGACATTTTTGGCAACTAGACAGTACCCAAGAGCAACCAGTGCTCTGATACCAATTGTTGTGCTAGGATAGCACCAAAAACTTTTGGAACCAACTCAAGCTAGCTCACAGGAAATTTATCAAATGAAAATGCAAGAACAAAATATAAAAGACACAAAGATTTTAACGAGGTTCCTCCACAGTCAGTGTAACTGGAGTACGTCCTCGGAGCAGTAGGAGCTCACCCAATAATCCACTATCAACCAAATGGGAGTTTACAAAGTGTTGGCAATCTCACAGCCCAAATAACCCAATACACCCAAAAGCTCTCACACACCAAAGAAAAAATAGAGGAAGAAATATAATGAATAATTTCTTCTCTATACATATAGCTCAAAGCTATTACAACAACAACTACTTTGGTAGATGATTACTAACCGAATGAAGCAGCAGCTTCTCTTCTCTCTTTGCAGCTCCTCTTTTTCTCAGCAGAGTATTGAGCTTTTTCCTCTTCTCTATATTCGGCTGCAAAGGCAAACCCCTTCCTTTCTTAAACCAACACCCACGGGTGTTGAAGAGAACAAAAATTCTTTTCCCTTTTTTCCTCCCCAAAACAAGGAAATGTGTTGTCCACCTTCTTTCTTTATAATTTTTTATAGCCCAAAGTTGTTTGGATTTTTGTCTAGCCGAAAGCATTTGCAAGTTGGCCACTATCCAACAGTTCCTCATTGTTTGAACCTCATAGGAGCTCTTCATTTATGTAGTTGGACACTTATCTAAATTGTAATCTAATGTTTAAACAAACTATGGATTTATGCATGGTTTATTCATTCTAATAAACATTTTATTAGAAAACTTTTCGTTAACACGCATTACATGTCACTTATATTTCATCATATGTATATCTTATTATTAGTAAATTTTGAGTTTTATTTGTTCAATACATTCATTGATAATGTACATAACATCTATGAAAGTTTTAGACCAAAATTATGTGTTTCAATGCCTATATCTATCATTTTTGTTGATTTTTTTCCGATACCGAAAATGATAACGATATATCCCCCGAAATATCAGTAAATTGGAGGCCTGATATTATCTACACGGCCGATATTTTAATCCTTGGGTAAACTATAACATTTCAAACACCAGGTCATATACCAAACGAGGACGAAAAAGACTGGAGCTGAAAAGTCTTCAGTAAATGGTGGTTGGGCTAATCAATTTCTATTATATTGTCAGACATGAAGGATAAATTATATTGGTACTTACTTAATGTTAGGCTATTTAATAATCAAGAGCGAACTAACTAGGAAGTAATCCGATAAATGAAGAAACTCAAAAGTAAGAACATGACAATAAAATGATAAAAAGGAGATCCCGAATGCTTTGACCAATGAATCGATCGATGATGTTGATATTGTGTTTTATTTTCATGGTATGCTTGACCTGGCCCATGTACATGGATATTTCTCTCCTATACGACTCTATATTCATATACTTTTAAGGAAAATTCTGCGGGAACTTTTAATAAAAAAAGGTATCAGTATATCTGAATATTAGTAGTGTAATGCAAAAGCGTTGGAGTATACTTGGATAGAAAATGGCGTAGAATCGCGACTCTCACTTAGATAGAAAATGGATAACATGCATTTTCCATTTTATGTTTATAATAAATTGTGAGAGACTTATGGCATATTTGGATGAATGCTCATTATATGGTTGTTCATCATATTTTCAACATATTCTATTACTATATTATTAATTTTATCATTTTATTTTGCAATTTAAGTTTTTCAATACAATTATGTATTTTTTTTAAGCATAACTAGATACTTATGTTATTTATATGTTATATAAATTTAATTAAATAATTATTAAAAAAAAAATAACAGCCTAGGCCTTCGCCTAGCCCCTATCCACCGCCTGACTACTGTTTAGCAATTTTTAAAACATTGACTTTAGACTTTAGAGATATACATATATGCCCACATAAGCCAAAGTAATGGCCGCTTCAACTGTAAATTGTACGATCCATGTCTTGCCAATTTAGTTTCGAACGTACATTTTCTAAGGTGATTGTAAAATGTTGTATTGTATTCTCATGTTATGAATCCCATAGAAACAGTCCTTAAAACAAAGAAAAAGATTACTTCACAAGAGACTGACAAAATATAAAAGTGAAATTAAACTTGTAGCTATACTGTTACACAACATTTACTCACATGGAAGGCCAAAATTCAAACTGATCAGTGATCCCTTTGGCCTCGTTGCCACAACCATCCCAACCAGGAAACCACACTAATATTCACTGTGATCAAGTCCAATAAGAAATCATGACTACTTATCATTCAACTAGATTTCGAGGATAGAAATTAAAACATTAAAATCACGCCTTCATTCTCCATTTTTTTATATATAAAATCAATAATGGTAAACATAAACCTTTGATCACCAAGTCAAACGGGACTCAAGCAACTAATAAGTAATTAAACACATTTGTTAAATTGAGGCCCTTCGGAGCCAACTGATCTTTTCTCGTCGACGTTTACTAGTTGACACAAGCCTGTTGATGACAATCGATCCAAAGAACAATATTGGTATTAGAACGACCATACTGACAGCCAAACTTTTTGCGGAGCCTTTGGACAGAGACGCAAAAGCTCCTGAAAAAAACGAGCTCATCATTCCTGCAATGGACAGGTAGAGGAGCGCTCCAGTTACTTCTCCTTTTACATAGAGGGGTAAATAACCCTCCAAGAAAATAGCTAAAATCACTAAAGTTGATGATAAGAAGGAGATACAGTTGAATGTCATAAAAATTTGGAAACTTTTAGTTTCCTGTAAAAGTGCAGCTCCATCGCTTTTATAACCTCCAGGAAGAGTTAAAACCGCTGCAAATGACACGGTTGCGATAAGCACAGCGAGTATTAGATTGGTCTCAGTTCTATTCATGACCTGATCGGAACAATTTTCGGGTCGCTTTTGACTATTGACTGTAATGTTTGGCTGCGTATTGGAGGTATCCTTCACTGGAGGAGATTCCAACTTTTTTAGTTCACGGCTGATTTGTTGTTGGAAAAATGCCACACCAACGGACGTCCCCGGCTTGTATGTCAAACCCATTTCCTAAAACACAGAGAAACTCAATTTGTGGACAATAAAAATGAATACAAGCATTGTGACACGAATTATTTGGGTAGGAGTTTCTTCACAAAGCAGCGCAACACTTTCAAGTGAAGTTTTAAAATAGGAAAGTGTTATTGGCACTCCAAAAATTTCATTCTACACTTCTCACAAGTATTATTTTTTTTCCAAATATAGAAAGTTTGGAGTGTAGAATGAAATTTTTGGAGTGCTAATGATAATTCCCTTAAAATATACTGATTAGTATCTTTAAAATTCATTGTATTTGTCAGTGTTTCTTACCTTCTTTCCAATATTGTCAACAGCAATATCAACAGCCTTTGACAACTCCTTATTGATAGCAGACATATGCACCCTGTCATCCCCACTTAAAATTTGTGCACTCTTCCATTTTTTGTGAAAGACGGCCAAATGCAAAGGAGTGTTTCCATCTTCATCCGCTTCATTTATAAGCCTTTCAAGCTTAGGTGTCTTCAATACGTACTTAATTACATTTGTTTGTCCACCCAAAACTGCAGAGTGAAGAACCGTTTGGCCTTTGGCACTGAGCAAATCACAAGTATCAGGCCGACATCGAATCAAATCATCCGTTATTTTTGGGTGGCCTGCATAGGCCGCGACATGGAGAGCCGACATTCCTGATTTGTCCAAGATGTAACAAGCAGAGCTATCACATTGCATCAACACTCGAACTGCTTCAAGGTTCCCTTTAAATGCTGCATAGTGTAAGGGAGTCCACCCAAGTGCGTCAACTTCTTTGATTATATCAGGATTTTTGGATACCATAAGCGCCACAATGCCTTGCATGTTTATATACAGAAGTCAGATCACTTACAGCTAGCTAGGGATGAAGAGAATATTAGAAGGGAAATGATTTCCGCACACCATTTTATTCACACCTCTATTTAGTTCTGTCACTTGATTCTGTTTTGATTTTTCAATCAAAGGGCCAAAAATAAACAGGGTGCGCATGGGGAGAAAATGTTGTGTGAGGAAATCACTTCCGTGTATCAATATCTCTTCTATAAAAGATTCATGTGTAATTATAAATTACAATTAGTTACCGTTTGCTTCTTCGTCTGTGTGAGTAACCGCTGCATGTAAAGCTGTCACGCCGTTGATCCCTTGAAAGGAAGGGGATACTGGACAATTTAGGATAGAACCAGCTATGAGTTGAAAGCCATGGGAAACAGCTAAGAACAAGGGCGACTCATTTGCGCTATTAGTAAAACAACACAATTGAGGGTCAGCTTCAATTAGGAGGTTTGCCACTCCATCGTGTCCATATCGAGCAGCAGCATGCAATGCCGTATCCTTGTCAAAATTAGTCATTCGGAGTAACTTTTTATGAGCTTCACCGTCAGATGGGCCGCTCTCCTGATCAGCTTCTTGAAAGTGCAGCGTTTTGGCGTGATTAATGAGGAACTCAGCTACTTCAGAGCAGCCTACTCTGGCAGCAATAAGCAGGGGAGTTTCGCCTTTCTTGTTGGTGGCCCAAAACAACGGTGATTGACTATCAAGCGGGATTTCTTCGAAGAATTTATTTTGCTTGTATTCGGCTGCAATATGAAGAACATTGTTGTCTTTAGGTGTTTTCTGATGGAGGAGATCAATTAATTCATCGCCGTTACCCCCGGTTCTTGTAAAGAAACCAGTATCACCCCACATTGCCGCCTCATACAAGGAAGGATCCATCGCAAGCTTTGATCTCTCTCGTTCTCTCTCCCTCTCAAACTCAAAACCTTCTATTAAGCACCATTTGCATTTGAGAATACTGTGGGAACCATATGTTTAATTAATTGGCGAGGTAATTGGGACACTGGTCCCTGAACTTTAGTTTTATTGGAACTTTGGTCCGAACTAAAAATTCGTAGTATTGATTTTGTGAACTTGTTATAATGTGGATCAATTTTCCTTTTGGCTAACTCTGTTAGAAAGCAATGATCATTTTAGCTAATTCCGTTAAAACTTTCATGCAAAATAAAGGGTTTAAAGGGACAAAAAATGGATGGAACTTCTAATGGAGTTAGCCAAAATAATCATTGCTTCACATTATAACAAATTCAGAGACTAATACTCACAAATTTTTAGTTCAATGACAAAATCTTCAATTGGGCCAAAGTTCAGAGACTATTAGTCTAATTCTCTCTTAATGGTAAACAAAATAGTTAGTAAATGAATAGGTTCTTCAGCAGCCGGGCTTATGTATTTACAGACACGTATGAAAAGAATCAAGATGAGTAAGTTTACAAAATTGAATGTGACTATGTATTTATCTTGAGTTTATATCACGTTGTATGAGTTAAATAATACAACAACCCATCATTTAGAACAAACTAAATAATAATATTACATTAAAAAAAAAAGGAAAAATTTGAAATAGGTCCAATTTTATAGACTACCTTTTAAAATGGGTCCAATTTTTAGTGACTTTTAACTTTTGAAATAGGTCCAATTTTTAGTTAATTTGGACCTATTTCAAAAAACCCCATAAAAAAATGAAATTGTTATTGGCACTCCAAAAATCTCATTCTACACTCCAAACTTTCTATATTTAGAAAGAAAAATACACTTGTAAGGAGTGTAGAATGAGATTTTTGGAGTGCCAATAACACTTCCCTAAAAAAATGAAGAAAACTTTTTATTTTTCAATTTCATAAACAATGCTTATATCAATTTCAAAACATTAATTTTTTTAATTTTTATAAAATGTGAGAGAGTTAAAAGGATGGACTAGCAAGTCTCATCCAAGTTCACCAAAAAAAAAAAAAAACAAAAACAAGTCTCATCCAACTTTGACTAAAGAGCGAGAGAGAGAAAAAGATAAAGAGGAGGACAGAGAGAAACTCACGGGGTTGAAGATGAGAGAAAAAGAGAAAAATAGATAAACAGGAACGAGAGGGAGAGAGAAGGGAATTAAAAAAAGGCTTTTTAGCCAAAAGGTCATTGAGATTTACATAACATATCATTTTGGTTCCTGAGTCTGAAATTAATAGAAACGGTCCTTAAAATTGTCCACCATCAATTATTTTGGTCATTCCGTTAACAGCTGAGTTAAGTGGTCCTGGAGCTCATACCGGAAACAGAGATTTTTGGCCGGAAGTTTGGACAATTTTCAAAGCTTCGTAACCTAATTATTTCTTAACCAAATTCAACCCATAATATATCAAAATGAAGATAGGTAAGTGTTGAACAAGATTATACCTATTTGGAAACTCAATGGTTGCCCGGAGATGGTCGGAAAGTAGCTTGAAAGGTGACTGATCCGCGGAAAAACTGGAAAACTCGTTAGAAACTGGGTAAACTTTAAACGTTCATAACTTTTTCAATACTCAATGAAATCGAGTGATTCAAAATGAAAATCATACTTCTCGATGAAACAAAGAGAATAGTACCTTTCTCAACAACTAACTCACCATGGTTTGGCCGAAAAATAGCCTGAAAGGTGACTAGTCCACGGGAAAACTGGAAAACTCGCAGAAAACTAGGTAAACTGTAAACATTCATAACTTCTTCAATACTCAACGAAATTGAATGATTCAAAACATAAAATCATACTCCTCGATGAGACAAAGAGAATGGTAGCTCTCTCGATGGCTAACTCACTAAGTTTTGGCCGAAAAACGGTTCGAAAATGGTTGTCTTGGTCTCATCGAGTTAAGCACTTTTGAGCCGTTTTTTGGCAAAACCAAGGAGTTAGCCATCGAAAAAGGTACCATTCTTTTCGTCTCATTGAGAAGTATGATTTTCATGTTTGAATCACTCGATTTTGTTGAGTATTGAAGATGTTATGAATGTTTAAAGTTTACCCAGTTTCCGACGAGTTTTCCAGTTTTCCCGCAGACCAATCACCTTTCAGGCTATTTTCTGGTCATCGCCGGCAACCATTGGGTTTCCAAATAAGTATAATCTTGTTCAACACTTTCCTGTCTTCATTTTGATATATTATGGGTCGAATTTGGTTAAGAAACGATTGAGTTACAAAGTTTTGAAAATTGCCCAAACTTCCAGCCAAAAATATTAGTTTCCGGTATGAACTCTGGGACCACTTGATGGAGTTTTTAAAGGAATGACCAAAATAATGGATGGTGGACAATCTCAGGAACCATTTCTATTGATTTTCAATCTCAAAGACCAAAGTGATGTGTTATGTAAATCTTAATAACCATTTTGCCTAAAAAGCCTAAAAAAATAAAACAAACAAAGACAAACCCACGTGAAGAGAAAGAGACAAAGAAGCCACATGGGCCCGAGTGTGACTGTGTGACGTGTGGTGTGTGAAATAGAGTATTTGTTTTTTTTTTTTTTTATTCTTATCATTAAATTAAGTTATTACATTATTTTGTTAAAATTTAAAGTTTTGATGCCTTTAATTTTCCTTAGATATTATGCTAAAAGCAAGCCATATGGTTGAATAACTTGTGCATTCTGCAAATATACAATCCGAATCCATCTTTCTTTTTTTCTTTTTCTTTTTTTTCTTTTTGGAAATTTGAAGCACTCGTACTAAATACAACACTAAGAATCTGAAGATTGAAAAATAAATTAGAAAAAAGAAAAAGAGAAAAGAGAAAACAGGAGTAGCGTATCTAACGGATCTTGAACTTTGTTTAATTGCAAACTTTGGTTATTGAATAAAAAAAATCCAGGAATATTGATTTATGAAATATGTGAAGCAATAGTGTTTTTGAGTAACACTGTTAGAACTACTGCCCAAAATAAAAGGTTTTAATAGACAAGTAAGATATATAATTAGTTCTAACGAGTTACTAAAAAAACTATTACTTCACATCGTAAATAAACCCTTTAGGTGTTTTCTGATGAAGATCAATTGATTTATCGTCGTTATCCCTAATTCTTGTAAAGAAACCAGTATCACCCAACATTGTCGCCTCATACAAGGAAGGATCCGTGGCAAGCTTTGATGTCTCTCGTTCTTTCTCTCCCTCTCAAACACATAACTTTCTCAAATTAATCGAGAAATAAGCTCCATTTGCATTTGAGAATGTTGCGGGAACCATATGTTTAGTTAATAGGTGAGGTAATTGATGCAATGGTCTTTGAATTTTAGTCAATTGGAGATTTGGTCTCTAAACTAAAAGTTTGTAAGTATTGGTTCCCGAACTTGTTTTAGTGTCAAGTAATAATCATTTTGGTTAACTCCGTTAGAACTTTTATCCAGAATAAAAGGTTTAAAGGGACAAAAAAGGATGGAACTTCTGACGGAGTTCGTCAAAAGAACTATTGCTCCACAAGGACCAATACTGACCAAATTTTAATTCATCAAACAAATCTTCAATTGGGCCAAAATCCAGAGACTATACTTGGTTCATTTTTCTCTTAACAGTGAGACGTCAATAAACAAGATAGTTAGTAAATGAATAGGTCCTTCACCGGCCAGGCCTATGTATTTACACGCACGTATGAAAAGAATCAAGATGAGAAAGTCTACGAATTTGAACGCAATTATGTATTTATATTGTGTTTCCTAAAATGAAATGGATGATCTCTAAAATTATCAGAGAGACAAGCCGAAGACTCACTTCCAACAACACATATATTGTCCCCAACTTGGTAATTATCACATGCACAATCCGTCATGTGTTATGTTTTATCACAAAAAGCCTCAGTATTAGTTAGAGTGAGGTTAGGATATTTAAACTTTTCTTTTCACAAAGATACGATCGATCAATGTGAGATATTTCAACATGATCTACCCATTTCCCAATAAATGAACCGAAATATGTAAGCAATCCACAACTCACACCGTCCTATTTCTTCTAGGGAACTTTCATTCAAAAGTCAACTTAGGCTTGAACAATTTCTCCAGATTTGTTCTCTTACAAAAAAAAAAATAAAAAAAAAAATAAAAAAAAAGCTAGCCTTCAAGCATGCATGTTGAATCACGGCGTGCTTCACGCAACTTACACATTTTAAATATATTTATATGTGTAAATTGACAAAAAGAAAGTCAAATATTTGAAGTACATGAATAATCTTAGATCATGTTAGAAAAAACCCCTCACAAACCAATCAAAGCAGCTGAATTCACATAATAAAATCGATCTTTCAATTTCCATCTACATTCTATTGAATTTACATTAAGAATAGAGAAAATAATATTCAATAAACAACTGATTGAATCACATTATTGCTAGCTCATTGTGAGGCTAAGCCCACCATCTCCTCTTTAGTGTAGATGATATCGTTTGTTCAAATAAAATAAATAAAAGAACAATCATTTGACAACTAATTTAATCATATTATTATACGCGTGCGAAAGACCTTTTTTATAACCGGCATTACACGTCTCTTAAGATGTTTTGAATGTTTTTAAAAATAGAGAAAATAATATTTAATGAATAACTGATCGAATTACATTATTGCTAGCATATTGTGAGGTACTAAATAAAAAAATGTACAAAAAGAATTAATTATTAAAAAATACTATTAAAATGATGAAAATACCCCTGTATTATTTGGTGCATTATTTTGGATTGCTTTTGAAATTTTTGTTTTGGGAACATTTTTGTCAAAAAATTTTTGGTGAAGCTTGTGACCCTAAAAGGGGTTGTTAGCTTTATATATAAAGATTCTCCATATTTGGTTTCAGGGAATTAGATCCCATTAGGATCCATTAGGATATTCATATCTTAGTTATTCATCGTATATCGTGCGATCAAAAATTATTTGAC